ACATCAGCATCAGTTTTAACCATTTTATTTTTTGGCACACATTTATTATGAATGGAAAGTTGTATGAGTAAAATCTTATCACTGTATAATTATTTTTCAATGAAGAATTATTTATTTGCTTAAAAATCTTAAGAACTCATTCATTGTCAAGCCAGTGAAGCTGGGTGACCAACCATAGCTGCCATTTCTCATAATCAAAATTTACTAGTTCTTTGTCTATGTCCACATCACTAAATCATCTGAATTTCATAAATTATAAAAACTCATTGTTACCCACATCAACATCAGAGCCTTTACCCAAGTTAATGTAGCTTTTGTAGTCATTATTCTGCAAACTCAAGAAAGTATTGAATTAAACATGCAGCCTCCATTTTGTTGAGTGGAAAATCTGACCCAGTTGCTTTAAATAGCATATTACTAGAGCTTAAACAGCAACCATGTGATCAGATATAATGGTCATTAACATCAATGTATGTAATATCTAAAAGTGGGATTTCCGCAAAGAATGCATTATGAAAATTGTACAAATGGCTGATGTTTACAGCAAGCGTCCAAACTCATTTCCATGCGAATCTGGTAGAGACATCCAAAGGAGCTTCCATGAGAATGGGGTAGAGGTTTCCAAAATTGCTTACATGAGGTAAAGGGTGAAAGATTTGCTTCTTTGTGTCTTTTTGATTATTTGTTTCCTCTGATAGCTCAAATAGTGGGTGAAACATTTCTTTTGGTACAAGTTCATTTATGCCTGTCACACTTGAATTTCTTACATGAAGTTAGGATCACATGTCACAAGTTTTGAATATCTTACTATACATGAAGGTAGTCTCACAATCAGATGATGTCAATCTTTAAAACAAATTGATTAGCTTGGTTAATTAAGAAGGGAAATTTGGTGACCTAAATTGCTGTGTCATTGCCTTACCAGGAAAATTTAATTTCTTAAGTGGATTTTTTTTTGTTTTGTCAGATGTATGTCTGAATGGGATTTTATGATTGCCACATTATTTGTTTCTCTTCTCATTTCCAAAGTTATAACACCACCAGTGAAACTTTATGTTCAGTCTGCTTTCAAGAGTGTATAGGTAAAGCAGATTTTGTGAACCCATTGTTACCAGTCTTTATTTGCTTTGGCTACCCATGCTTCAGGTACATATCACTTTTTTATGTTCTGATATTAGATTCACTTTATGAAGTGTTTTCTCTCAGCTGCACCTCAATGTCTTTTAGCAAAGTAAAACTCAGAAGTATGCATAAACATTAGCATCACATTGTAATATATGTCTATAGTATTGACAAGCTTGTTTTCTGTTTCTCATCTAATAGACCAGTCCACTAGGTCATGAAGACGCTTGCTTTTATTACTTGCGCTGCTCATTATATTGATCAAAACTACCTCCTATGTTGACAAGGCACCAGGCAAGTGAATAACAGAATTAAGCAATATATGACTTTTTAACATTGAATACTTAAGTTAGTGATGACTATGGTCCTATACCAATGCTGGTATTTGATATATAAAAGCTATAAAAAAAAACAGAATTAAAATTAATACTGGACACAGTGGAATGATATTAAGTGTTACAACTATCATCTTGAACCAAGTAACAGAAGGAAGCAAAAACCAAGAAATTTTGTTAAATTTAACTAACAATTTAATTATCAGAATTATTAATGAAAATATGAGAGGAACTTATGAAGCATTATGAAGTGAATCCAAAATAATCCTGCACAAGTTCTAATAAAGTCCAAAAGAAAATGAAATGTTCTGTATAAATTTCAGAACCAAGAATGTACTGATTAGCCAAGAATTGTGATCTCTTCAAAATGTTGTTGCTTGAAACTCCTTGAACAATTTACAAGTTCCAGAATAATATTATAGTACATTGAGTTTTTTTTTTCTATTTCCATTGAACAATCCAAACAAAGTTTTGTCCTTTTAAATAATATGTAAGTACAACATAAAAATATCTCTGCAGACTTGACATTACAAGAACACCTGAAATAAGAATGCCTCCAAAATAAGAAACATATTTACTAATAATTATATTTATAGATCCTATGCAGTTTTATTTTTCTTAATATTTAAAAAAAACTTGCACATATGCCAAATCCAACTATAGATAGCCAGTACATTTTACACTAATTAAAATTACAAAAATTATAGATATACATAACCTTTAGTACTATTTCTTTAGAGGTTGTGAGAAATGACTAAATTAAAATAAATAATGATCATGACAATTGGATGGTATTGCCATGGCATCTGATGGTGACAATTGGATGGTATTGCCATGGCATCAGATGGTGGCAATTAGATGGTATTTCCATGGTATCAGATGGTGACATTGGGATGGTATTGCTATGGCATCTGATGGTGACAATTGGATGGTATTGCCATGGCATCTGATGGTGACATTGGGATGGTATTGCCATGGCATCTGATGGTAACAATTAGATGTATTGCCATGGCATCAGATGGTGACATTGGGATGGTATTGCCATGGTATCTGATGGTGACAATTAAATGGTAAAGCCATGGCATCAGATGGTGACATTGGGATGGTATTGCCATGGCATCTGATGGTAACAATTAGATGGTATTGCCATGGCATCAGATGGTGACATTGGGATGGTATTGCCATGGTATCTGATTGTGACAATTAGATGGTATTGCCATGGCATCTGATGGTTACAATTGCATGGTATTGCCATGGTATCAGATGGTGACATTGGGATGGTATTTCCATGGCATCTAATGGTAACAATTAGATGGTATTGCCATGGCATTAGATGGTGACATTGGGATGGTATTGCCATGGCATCTGATTGTGACAATTAGATGGTATTGCCATGGCATCTGATGGTTACAATTGCATGGTATTGCCATGGTATCAGATGGTGACATTGGGATGGTATTGCCATGATATCAGTTACCAATACTGAGAGTGATAGTTTTGCTGAACGCTTTGAGAATGCAGAGGAAAATGGATTCGTTATGATTCCAGACAAATTTTGGCTTCATGCTGACCAAAACAAGAAATAAGATTTAATTTATTTTTGTAAAACTCTACAACACTTTAAATAAAATGTAAATGATGGCCTTTTGTGTAGACATTGCATTATTTCACTTTTTATCAGTTCAGAAGTCTTTTAGTCAGTAAGAATTTGACAGTATCAGGGCTGTTCCAGTTAAATATACATGGGACCCAGGAAAGGCACATTTAATATAGAGTACTCACCAATACATGCAATTTAGAATTTTCATCTGATTTTAATATGAACTCTGTGATATCAAAGTCAAACATATATTTTTTTTAAAAAGTGCCTTCCCTGGGTATAGTGTATGTTTAAATGGAACAGCCATCTGTGAGAAATAATAGTATTAATGCAGTAGTTGTAAGGAATTTAATGTAAATATTTATTATTGTAGTAATAAGTTCATAATATATTCGTAATATGCATGTTATAAGTTCATAATATATTGGTAATAAGCCTTTTAATAAGTTTATAATGTCAAAGTAATAATCATGTAATAAGTTCACAGTAAATGTTGCATAATAGGCTTTGCCACCAGATAGAAGAGATGTATAGATCTATCTGGCTACATTCTGGGAGCTTATACTACTGTAATAAGGCCTCCTGTGCATGCTCAGTTGTAACCAGGTTTTATGCAGTCTTTGCTCTCATTTAATGCAGCTTATAAGCTTGTCTTAGTGTAATTTAATTTTGTAACTTTCAAAAGACGTATTTCATTTATATTTCAGTTTGAATTTGTATGGAATCTACCAGACGACACAGAACCAGTGTATGTATGACCTTGGTGGTGATGATGAGCTAATGTGTCTAGTCTATATGACCTGCCTGTGTACATTATAGATGATGCAATGATATAATGGATTACCATTCAGTATTAACTAATAAGCATTCAAGAATTCTCTTGTAGTAAAATTTGAACTGTATCAAAACTTTTGCTAAATAGAGACAGACTTATTCCATGTGAATTTATGGTAATCCTCTCAGGATGTCATATTTGCAGTCATGGATTTCAGATGTATAAGGATGGTACCAAAGCACAGGATTGTGACCTAGCTAAGATCCCAGACTTAAAATCAAGGAAGCTGAGTCTTAATAGAGATGCAGAACAGAATTAGCGTATGGAATTGCGCACTATGGATCAAAGTAATTCAGTCATATGCTGTCAGGACCACAGAATTGAACTGAAATTATTCCATAATTTGGCAGAGATCTTAGAATTATGATTCATTAATTGGCATCTGAAATTAGATGATTCCTTTATTGCAACTGGATTCAGAATGATTCCTATATTGGCATTTGACATTTATAGTTATTTGATATAACTGAAATTATGCAACATTGTGAAGCAAAGATTGTGTTGAATTAATAATTTTAATAAATATATCCTTATTGCCAGTAAAGATGTTGAAAGTTGGAGTTATTTTAGGATTCAGGCATTTCTTGACTAATATTTATTTTCCCATTCAAAGGTTAGCTTTTGGATTTAAATATTTCTTACTTTAGCATAATAGTTATAAAAAATTTTCTGTAAGAAAAGAATAACAGAGTCCAAATAAGGATGTGTTCCTGGTCAAATGGGTGGGTCAAGGAAGATCTGTTGCATACAACTTGATCACACTTTTATAATTTCCTTTACAAGGATCCTAAAGTGTATACCTGCACTAATTCTTGGAAATAAATGATTCATATCATGAAAAATGCATGGTCTCAGAAGCATGCCATATAAAAAAAGAAAGCACTTGTTATTGGAGAAATAATGATTTCATCTTGTTTATCTGTTCATCCAAATCCATTTTTTTTTTGTGAAAATGTGGTTACATTCAAATAGACCTATCCTGTGGCCTCATGAAATTTTTCAGATAAATAGGACCAAGAATGTTTGGCTTAAAATGATAGAATTTGGTTTTGTTAGATGTAATGGCCCTTTTAACACATTGGCATGGGAATGAAATTGTCATTGACTTAGGCTGACCTGGGTGGTTTTTGAACTCAGGACTCTTGGATTATGAATCAGATGTTCTACCAATTGAGCTACTGCAGCCAATTTTGTATTGTATTTAGGATTGATCAGAATCTCAGCAGTTTGCTTCTAATGTGAAGTATTTTATATTAGTACAGGAATATTAAATCTGACTTTTCAGAGTGCATAATGTAATTCTTAAAGCGGTATATTTATACATTCACACCATTTTGGTGTGTGGTGCATAATTGCATGTGATATACAGTCTTTGCATTAAGACTATAAAAGAACATTAATTTCATGAAATTTGAAGAAAAGTCAGAGGAAATTACAATTGATATCTGTTTGTTTGCTTGGAAATTGTACAATGTGCTCATTAATTTTTTTCAGTTTTACAGTGTGCTCATGAACCTTTCTAATTGAATGGATATTCTACAATGTGCTCATTAACTTTTCTTATTGAATGGGCATTGTCCAATGTGCTCATTAAATTTTCTTATTGAATGTGCTAATAAACGTTTCTTATTGAATGGAAGTTTTACAGTGTGCTGATGAACTTTTCTTATGGAATGGGCATTGTACAATGTGCTGATGAACTTTTCTCATTGGATGGAAGTTTTGCAGTGTGCTGATGAACTTTTCTCATTGGATCGGCATTGTACAACGTGTTCATTAACTTTTTTTATTGAATAGAGATTTTGCAGTGTGCTGATGAACTTTCTTCATTGAATGGAAGTTTTGCAATGTGCTGATGAACTTTTATATTGCATGGAAATTGTACAATGTGCTAATGAACTTTTCTTATTGAATGGAAGTTGTACAGTGTGCTGAGGAACTCTTATTGAATGGAAGTTTTATATTGTGCTATGAATTTTGTTATTTGCATGGAAATTGTACAATGTGCTAATGAACTTTCCTAATTGAGCGAAAGTTGTACAATGTACTCAAGAACTTTTCTCATTGGATGGACATTGTACAATGTGCTTATTTATTATCACTAGAAAACTAGATCCTGTTACATGGATAGAAGTTTACTCATGAAATTTTTGCCTTGCATGGAAACAAGATCTTGTACATGGATCACAGGATTTAGATTCAATTATATTCTGCTGATGTTGTTGACCTGTCATGCATGGTTTAGTTTTGTCATTGAAGTGGGGCATTCATGTTCCATGAACACATTTCTGCATGTTGCATATCCACAGATAAAATATTATCAATCTAGTATCAATCACTCGTGTACCATACACATTTTGTCCTGAATGACTACCTCGGTTCAGCTGTAGAATATTTGTATATCTGTGACCTCAAAGAACTAAAAAGTACAAAAACTTCTTGAATGAAAATTTTGGGTCTTGAGCACTTAGATTGTTTTTAATTTATACTGAATATTGTAAATTGCCAGTTATCTCAGGAAGATTTTGTCTTTAAAATTGGTTGTTTGATCATAATCAGTTGGGTATGTAAATTTTCTGGGGACATGGGAATTCTTAAAATCAAAAAAGTTATGTTGTTGGAATTTTAATGATAGAGATGCTGCTGTCTTGGTTGAAATTGTTTGGAGAAAAAAGAAAGCAGCAGCTTTTTAAGCAAAGTAGCAAATATGCTTCCACATATTTAATGAAGCTTTTTTTCTGAATGGGTTTATGGGTTGTGAACCAAAATATCAAAGAGACCTCAACACAAGCAGTACAAAGTAATTTTAAACCAAAAGTCCAAAGATTCTGTTTCAAGGATCCCAAAAATATATTCATCCAAATGGAAGGAAATTTGTTTGTTGTTAGACACATAGATGTTTTTTTTTATAGTAAAGTCAGTGTGTATACAGATTGCTTGTTTTTTTTTTTTGTTTTTGTTTTTTCAGTCCATGCCAACAAAAGTTATGAAGGAATATAATTTGTGTTTTCTGTTTTCTCGTTCATTCATTGCCCATTTGCCCATTTTTCTTTATCCCATTAATATCTTAGTTCCCATATCATCTAAACGTATGATATTTGGTATATGGATGCAATCTCAGGAAGAGCAACTCAGTCATACCATAACTAGGTCACTGTGGATCATTTTCAGGTTTGACTGGCCTTTGTATTTTCAGTTGTTTGTTTCACCCACAATATCTTAACCTGATTTTATCAGCACCTATGAAATTGGTATGTTGGTGCATCTGGGGGAAAGTTACTCAACTGTAAAAGCTAGGTCAGTGTGATCTATTTTGCTTGATTGAGTGATTTTTTTGGTATTTTCTATTGTTTGTTCATTACACTCTGAATATCTTGGACCCTATTTCACCTGCACTATGCAAAAATTGTAGACACATCTTGAGGAAGTCACTCAGTCATACAAAAACTGGGTTATTTTGAAAAGTTTGAGTGACTTGCATTTTTGATCCATTGTTTCTTATATGTACAATATCATGGACTCTATTTTACCTGAACTCAACAGAATTAATATGCAGCTATATATCGACAAAAAGTAATATCACTGCACCAAAGCTATATCATTGTGGCTTAATTTGCATGTTTGAGTGACTTTATAATTTTTAGCAATTGTTTTTAATAACCACAATATCTATGACTATATTTCACTAGCACTCAAGAAATTTGATATCTAGATAAATCATGTATTAGAAAGGGAATTCATATTTATAATTACATGCAGTTTCTATTTTTAGAAATATATAATTAGTTTTTCTTAGTTTTAATAGTTAACAATTTGCATTGCATTTTCCTTGTGCCATGAGAAAGAATATACAGCTGTGATTGTACAAGTGTCAGTAGGAAAGAGTTAAGATAGAATCAGTATAATATTAATAGATTCTTGATAATGGCACAAGCAATATGTTTTATATATATTTTATGGTAGTTATATGAAAGTTTACTTGCCTAACAGGAATTTTGTAGTACACCTGGCCATAAGGCCAAGGAAGTTTATGGTTTGACTGTGAGTTTTGCATGCATGCCATTTTTCCATGTTCTTTGCAGCTTCTCAGTAACAACTGGGTCAGTCTGATCAAACATAGTCAGAATGGTTTTCTAAGATCTATACATTTGGAAAACCTGTATTCAAGTTCTCCAAAACAGCTGAATCAGTTTTGTTAAAATTTGCTAGAACTGTTTGCCTCAAAACTGTCTTATGTGGCACCCAGAGAAGTGTCTCAACTACCTTTGGAACCAGGTGGAAAACCTATTTTTAATCAATTCCCAAAGAATGGCAAATCCAGTTTATATTGATCTTTGTGGGGTGTTTCTTAGGATATGCATTATGAAAAATTGTCTGCCATAGCATGTCTTCCAAAGCAACTTTATGGCAAACCTACACAACTTCTCCAGAATGGCTGAGCCAGATTTCATACATCTTGGTAGTAATATGTTAAGGACGTGATGTGTCAAATTTTGAACATCTTTCATGCCAATTATTTATCTAGTTTGAAATTATGTTGACATTAGTGTATTTCAGCTCAAGACATGTGCCCTTATTAATATGCTTGTGTTTTAAACCTTAGTTTGCCAGGTGTGCAATATCAGGCCATAGAAGTTATCATTTCCTGAATTTATAAGGTATGGAAAAATTCAGCCATTTAGGAGTCATTTTCATCAGGAAGCCACACCACAGTAGTTCTCTTGTTCCTTCCATAAACAAAGCCAAAGAAATGAAAAGATTATTTCTTTCTCCAGGCATAAAACATTATATTATACTTGAAAATGCATAAGGTAAAGAATCAAATATTTCAAGCAATATAATGTGTATAAAAATAGTTATGCAGTTATTATTGCAGCTTATGTTCAAAGTTGTTTCAGTCTGTTAGTAAGCATAATTGTATGTATTATATTTATTATTTCTCTAAGCTTTTGTCTGAATATAATTTATTATTATAAACACTTAATTTTAATGCCCTTCTTGTTACATTAAGATTTTTTTCATTGTTAATGCTTAACTGGTGCTTGATACAGATTTTGATTTTCTTATTGATTAACAAGTGTGTTGAATGAGACATTTATGTGGAAGGAAATAGTTTAGTAGTTTAAAGTAATTATGATCAAAATACATTCATACTGTTACAGGCTATGAATAGTTTCTTTTCATTTTAAGTGATTTTGTATCTATTTGTATGTGCTTTCACTTTATATGGTCATTGTCATTATTTCCATATTATTTGTCTGATGCTATGTACAATTTTTGTATGTTGTAAATATCAGTATTTAAGAGTAATTACTAAATTTAGTATGCACTTTTATATGTGACTTGATAATTAAAAACCATGGCAAGTAAAATAAATAACTCTATGCTGATGATGTCTTTTATTTGTGTTTGTAATTGCTGTAAGCAAACATTTAAAGATATTGTGCATACCAATGTTAATATTTTTTCCACTTAGCAGTGTTAGGGATACTGTGTCAGTCTTTGCATCCATACCTCATCTCATAGTACACTTAGCTCAGTAACAGAGGGTGTGAGGCTTTGCGTCCACCTCTGAAATCTTTGGAAGGGGGTTGGAAGTTAGTTGTTTTTTATTTGTTTTTGTTTTTGTCAGTTTGAGTGGCAAGTCTTGCACATTATTGGCTATATTATACTGAGTAAATGGTGCCTTTCCCAATAACACACCAAGGCAGCCTTTCCCAATAAAACACCAAGACAGCCTTTCCCATTAACACACCAAGGCTGCCTTTCCCAATAACACACCAAGGCAGCCTTTCCCAATAACACACCAAGGCAGCCTTTCCCATTAACACACCAAGGCAGCCATTCCCAATAACACACCAAGGCAACCTTTCCCAATAACACACCAAGGCAGCCTTTCCCAATAACACACCAAGGCAGCCTTTCCCAATAACACACCAAGGCAGCCTTTCCCAAAAACACACCAAGGCAGCCTTTCCCAATAACACACCAAGGCAGCCTTTCCCAATAACACCAAGACAACCTTTCCCAATAACACACCAAGGCAACCTTTCCCAATAACACCAAGGCAGCCTTTCCCAATAACACACCAAGGCAGCCTTTCCCAATAACACACCAAGGCAACCTTTCCCAATAACACACCAAGGCAACCTTTCCCAATAACACACAAAGGCAGCCTTTCCCAAT